GAGAGAGAGTATAGTGGAAACGGAAGGCGTATAGTGGAAACGGAAGGCAGGTCAGGCGCGATCAGGGTCACCGGGACAGGTCATGATCAGCATGGCTGACGTAGATGAGGCGGCCGCATAAGTATTTCAGCAAGCTATTTGGATTTTTAAAAAAAATATTATCATCGTGAAAAGGTTACATGGCCTCGTCCCTTGAGCGAGTTGTGATTGAGGACGCGGGCTCAGCCTCAGTCGTGCTGCCAGATACACGTATTATAAGCGTCTATGGATTTTTTTTTTGTGCAAATAGGCCGCCTTGTTGATAGAGGCTATTTATAGTAACTCCACCTACAAATGTGTTATAGGGATAGTAAACACTATAAAAGACGGCAGTTAATCGTCACCTTCAGTGGCGTAGATGGTAAAGCGCGCACTGTAGTCTTTTTTTCAGAAAAGTTTCGATGGCATTTTCTTTTTCCTCTTACCTTCGTTATTTATTTTAACGTATAGAGACAGAAGACCAACCAAAAAATCCAGGGAAAAAAACATTATATAAAGGTTAGAAATTGATTTGCATTTCAGTGAGTGAAATAAGTATTTGATCCCCAAGCAAAACGTGACTTAGTACTTGGTGATGATCTTAATAATATATTGTAGTTTGTGATGCGCCACGATTTCAAGCACTGAAATGCCATTGTCAACCAAAATGATGGTTTGGATTAAAAAACCTGAACATTGTATCAGTGTCACCTTGCTATCTGGGTCAGTATCAAAGTGAACAGCACTGATATCTGTACCAGTGAATAGTTTAATATGCTTATCCTGAATCAAGATAAGGCATGGAAATCATAAGGAATTCCAATTTTCTGCTTTTTGTTCCTCTTTACAGGCCAATTAACACCACACCGACAAACACCAACAACTTTGTCAGGTTTTGTCTGATCAGTGCGTTACCCGTTTTTATAGTTTTTAAGAAAAAAACGAAAAAAGACATTAGTGTTTATTGGTGTGCAGTGTGAGTTTTTATTGGTTCGCTAACTGATGTCCAGTGGAGGATCCATTTTAAGACTTTTAATGACTGTAAGAAGGTAATATATTATTGATTCATTAATTTGTATAAAAGGTCAGTATCAAAAAGGAAAAATTAGCAGTTCTTAGGAGTTCTCCTTAATCCAGTAATCGCTCCTACTGATTCAAAAGTGTATCATGTCAAAGAACCACTCACAAAAGTCACTAGTTCAGGAATCGTTCTATACTGGTTGCTGTATGTTTCACAATAGTAGCGTCACTGTCAGTAAAAACTGTAGCAAACTTGCAGATGGTGACTAATATTAGTTCCCTTTCATGGGAACTTCGAACTGCGTCCTCTAGGGGTCGCTATGGGGCTCAGAATAATAGACACGTAGGCTACATCAGACATGAGTCAATATGTTATTGAAACACTGAGGGTAAATGAAGAAATAAAGAAAGAAAAAAGGCTGCTTAGCCTCCTAAGAAAGACTAAATTAGTGGTGCCATGATGCAATACAATCCAGAACTACTGGATGTGTAAAATGAATCACATGTGAATTGCATTGGTTACAAAAAATGCATGTTCAGGAACTGATTCGAATTTTCAAGTATTATTTTATCTGTATCCAAACTGTAATAATTGATGTAGATCACAAATTATGCTGCAAAATCCAAAATATTTACATAGAGATTAAAACCAGATTCAGTGTATTAAGTAGTCATGGTTCATTGGCATTTACTGTGAAACTGAAAGATTTTTAACAGTGCATCAGCTGCAGATAATTGAAAATTGTTTATTTATTAAAAAAGTTAAAAAAGTACAAACCTACAGAGCATTGCAGTAATACAAGTCGGGAGACTTGCAGTAAAATAACTACACATTTGAAAATGACAGCAAACCACAACTATGAGCTCATCTCTCTATTTTTATTCTGTTAGGCCTTTAACACTGATATAATTGTACCTGCTACTATTCATACAGTTTTCTGTTCATACACCAAGACAAGGTATCAAATGTAACAATTCTGATTCTTGCAATGAATCTGGCTACTTTTTGTTCTCAGCTTTGTGTGTGATTTGTGTGTGTTTTTTCTCTCTCTCTCGCTCTCTGAATGTGTTTCTTCATCTATTTTATTGACAAAGCGTTTTAGCTTGTCTTGTAATTTTTTTTGATTAGATCAGATACTATTTTAAGCTGTTGTATGGTCATGTTACAATGTGCCCCACCTCTGGAGGATCTCAAATGATTGGTCCTGAACATATTTAGTGTTTCTATTAAATAGCCTCCAAAATATTTTGGGAATATCCTGATTTCCAGTGACAGGCTCCATTTATGGTGCCCTGTCCCCTGTTTTGCAGTGCATTCAAAACACCTCGAAAATACACAGAAAAGAAGCATGACCATAATAGCCTGCTGATTTATCAGAGCAATCGTGTGCTGATTTTCACCAACAGAGGAGGCTGCAAGCTTTTATTAACATAGGCTGCATCCGAAAACACATACTTCCATATATAGTAGGCGAAAAACAGATTTTGGCAAAATACGTATGTCCCAATTCACAATACTCATAAAGCAAAAAGCACCCGGATGACCTACTACTTCCAGCATGATTCTGAAGTGTTCATAGGATGGACACTTTACTATACCATGAGGCCACGAGAGAGGATTTATGAATGGCAGTGATGTGACACAACTGACACTGGTAGGTCACGTGACAGTATGAAGTATGACACTATCAATATGAAATGACTTTATGAATTTCAGAATCAGAATGAGCTTTATTGCCAGGTATGTTTACACATGCAAGGAATTTGTTTTAGTGACAGAAGCTCCACAGTGCAACAGAAGGACAGTGACAGACAAGACACAGATAATAAAAATATTAATATACAAAATAGACAATGTACAAAATAGAAAAACACAATATACAAAATAGACAATTTTGTATG